CCCTCTGTTTTAACCCTCTATGTGCTTTGTTATGCAAGACCCAAGAAACCAACAAGATCCTTGACCAACACTCCATCAAAGCTGTTATAAAAGCAAGACAAGTCAGAGAAACCATCAGAACCAAGAGAGGTGAGGTATAAATGCTGTGTGGAACCTAAGGGAGGGGTGTCCTGGCACAGAAAAGGACATTAGGGGGAAACTAGTCAAAGCTGAACAAAGTATGGACTTACTGTGTCGATACTGTGTTAATTGTGTCGTTAATTGTAAACAAGTGCACACATTAATCAATGCAAGGTGTTCATCGGGCAGTTAGGTACAGTTTTATATATCAACTCCGAATGATCTTCACAAGTTTTTTGTAAACCCAGAACATCTGTAAAATTGTTTATTTTTTAAAAGGTAAAAAAATAAAGTGTTGAATGAATGAATGAATAGAATCTTAGCTCTGCCACCTCTAGCATGTGGCCTTACTCAAATAACTCAGTTTCTCTGCCAGGGGTATCCTCCTCTGGAAAGGGGGGCTGCAGGACTTGGGGCTCCCCTGAGGATGCAGGGGGACCACAGTCTGGAGTCAGTGGAGCAACCCAACTTCTTCATCTCCACCAGAAGTGGGAGGTGCCTGCTGTTGCCTTTCTCTGAGGAGCCACAGAGGGCGGGGCGCCCTCCCTCGACCCCCCCAGGGCCTGGGGAGAGATCAGAACCACCTCCTGGCTCCAAGGGGCCCAAACCCACTGGGGCACCTTGTCTTGCCCATCTAAGGGGCGAGCACGTGCAACTGGTTTTCCCACTATGCCCCCCAAGCTGCTACTTCCGGCAGGGGCGGGTGACCTGAGAGGGGCCTTGAGAGGATAAACATAGGTCTACAGAATGTGGCTTCTTTAATGTCTACCCACAAGGGGCCCCGCGTTAGGTAAGGGAATAAATACAGACGAGTGTAGGTACAGGGCCCCCAGCGCCCCGCCGCGGGGCGGGAGTTATGCCGGCGGCCTCGGTTTAGCCCGCCTGGAGCCCAGCGCGCACTCCGAGCCGCGAGGGTCTGATAAGGACAGTGTTTTTCAGGGGTCTCCTGGCCCCTCCCGGAGAAGAGAAGTCCCCGCAGACGTCAGGCTGGCGAGGCCCTCTGCTGTCCGCCAGGGGGCGTCAGAGCCCAGGTCCCCCGACGGGTCGCCGCCCCGGCCTCGCCCTCCGGGTTCCCTGATCCCACCCAGTAGGGGACATACCTGGAGGTGGGGCTGACCCACCAAGCCCCGCTTTCTTCGCCTTTCCCCTCACCCTGCGCTACTTCTCTGGGAAGGCCGGGAGTCGGAAGGGCGAGGGGAGGCGCGGGAGGAGGACTGCAGCCCCAAGGGGGGCGGACACTTTGGGGGGGCGGCCCCTCCGCGTCTGGGACGGGCCTGCAGCGCCAGGGAGCAGGGCGCCCGCGAGCGCCACCCCGCGCCCACCAGCCCGCAGTCGGTGAGGCGCTGAGCCAGGGGCGGCGGGGTCACAGCAAGTTGATCTCGTCCAGGTAGCGGGCCAGCACCGAGTCCCGAACGTCCTTGAAGACCTTGCGGATGTTCTGCGTGTCCGTGGCGCACGTGTAGTGGCTGAAGAGGCGCCGCGAGCGCGCGCCCTTCCTGCCCCCGTCGGGGCTGTCAGCGCAGCTGGCGTACATGCCCGTGTACATGTCCAGGATGAAGCTCTTGGCGGCCTCCGCGTCCTGCTTGGGGCCTGGGGGTGGGGAGGGGGCAGTTAGTGGCAACTGAGAGGGCAGGTGAGCTCCCCCCGGGACCAAGGAGAGCTAGCAGCCTCTTGCTGCCAGGGGCCACATCAGAGACGCTGGGCCCAGGCCCCCCACCATGCTGCGCTGGGCACCGTCTTTGCTTGTCTAGTGGGTCACATCATGGGGCGCAGCCAACCCGGGCACCAAGGACACGGTGCAGGGGTCGCCCAGCTGGAATGGACCCTGGGGCTCCACTCTGGGCCTGGGCAGAGCTGTCTTAAGAGGACCTCAGGGCTTAGCTTGGAGCTAGGGAGACAGAAGTCCCCGGTCACAGACAGACGTGGCTGGTGGCACGGATGGGAGGCGCCGGGCCAGGCACATGCGCGTGTTGACAGCTCACGGTGACGTGAGGTGAGGCCTTCCGGCTCTGACCCTTGCTGGTTAAGGGACTGTGCTGGCCTGTGCAACCTCCGTGAGCCTGTTTCGTCACTCGCAAAGTGACCGCAGTCCAGGCCACCCAGGGTCATTGAAAGGACTGAGCACAGTCACGTGGGGAGCTCGGCAGCCAGGGCTGGACTCGGTGAGCACGGGCTGTCAGCGTCCTCTCAGGAAGGTCTGGTGGTAGCGCAGTGGCCACGACAGCGGCCATTGACCCGGGAGACCCGGGCTCGAGTCCTGCAAGGCAGTGGCTGCTCTCGAGTGGCTTGTAAGAAGGGACTGCCTGCCCAACCTCTTTATGCTGCCTGTCTCATCCTGACAAGCCTGCACTGGAACAAGACACTCCACAGACCTGTGGCTCCCCAGACTGAGAAAGCGGGGATGGGGGGGGGGTGCCTACGAAACGGCCTGTTAGGAAGAAGTAAGCAGTGTTGAAAGGTCGATCACGGATGAAAGATTAGCCTAAAACAAAAAGCTCTTTATTAGGTACAGAAGAGAGGGCTATGAAAGATCAGAAAAATGTGCTTCAAAAGTCGAGCAGAGGCCTCCCAGGTGTGGGCTATGAGGGTGACGTGTATCCGGCAGACCCACACTAAAGGTCTGTGAGTTGTCAGAATTAGAAGCAACTGTAGGGGCTAGAAACGCTGCGGCTATTTCACCCCATTCTGCAGAAGGGCGGCTGGGACTCCACGTGCTAGGCCCTGCAAAGTTCTGAAGCTCTCAGCTGCTGAATCCTGAAACTGCTCCGTCTGGGGTGGGCTAGGCCCTGGATGAGCACCCCTTGGGCACTCCTTTGGGAAGGCAGAGGGGATAGGAAGTTCTAGAACCACTCACCCTGGAAACTGGGGAAGTAGGTCGCCAAGTGGGAGGTGGGAATCTTCTCCTCCAGGATGTCAGTTTTGTTCAGGAAGAGGATGACCGACGTGCTTCTGAACCAGGGAAGCTCCAGAATGGTCCCGAACAGGGCCAGGCTTTCCTTCATTCGGTTCTGGGAGGTGGGACAGGTGGTCACTGCCCCAGCCGGCAGGCACGGCCTGGACAGGAGCCCTGCCCCATGCAGCGATGGGGCTGGGGCCGGCTCTCCAGGGCTGGGGGCCCTGGCTGCTGCCTGCTGGGCCTGAGGGAGCTGTAGCAGACTGTCTGTGTACCTGGGAGGGTTTTGTGCTTGCACTGGTTTGCCCCCCAAAAAATTCAGGTCCACCTGGAACTTTAAAAATGTGACCTGGGGCCCTCCCTGGTGGCGCAGCGGGTTAAAGCACAGCACTGAGAATCTGAAGCCACTTCCGCATGAGTTCGATTCCCGCCTGCCGCCTGCCCGGAGGAGACCACATGGCGAGCCAGACCTCTCCTGACCCGCCCGCTGCTTCCCTCAGCAGTGTACTTCGTAGATCTGCCTGTTCTGTTCCCCACTCTGTCTCTGGTGAAGCTTCTCACCGGCCCTGAGCCTCTGGCCTGTACCCCAGTTCTGTATGCACAAATAAATAAATCTTTAAAAAAAAAAAATGTGACCTGGTTTAGAAGTAGGGCCTTTGAGGGCGTCATTAGTTGAGAAGGGGCACACTGGATTAGTGGCAGCAAGCCAATGACCGGTGTCCTTCCCAAGGGGACGTCTGGACACAGATACTATGTGGGGAGAGGCGGAGATAGAAGATGCATCCCCAGGCCCACGACAGCCGGTGACCCCCACAGCTGGGCGGGCGTGGAGCAGAAGCCCCCTCAAAGCTTCATCCCTGCTGCCACCCTGGACTCAGACTCGCAGGCTCCGGAGCCGTGAGAATGAGTTTCTGCTGTGCCGGCCCCAACCCACAGCCTGCAGCCCTTGGTTAGAGCAGCCCCAGCGAACCAGGTCATCTGGCATGGCGGGGTTCCGGCGAGAACTGTGCCAGGGTGGCCGCAATGCACGCCCCTCCCTCCCTCTCAGTCAGAATGACAGCATCTGACCTGTCCCCCAGACCGTCTGTGTGCAAACGGAACCCCGGAAAGCGGATACCTTGGCCATGACAACACGCTGACCTTCACGCGGCCTTCACGCCCCAGTGACGATTAGGGGAGAGTCCGTGTAGTGAGGGACAGCCTTCCCGGCCCTGCAGTGGAACCTGCTCTTCCGAAACGGCTGGGGCTGTGCTTCCGGGGAGATGGGGGGCTTGCTGTCCCTCTGGGGTGCTTGTGCAGTGTGTGTGTGTGTGTCTGACTACACAGTGCTCAGGGTTCTGACCATGAAACGGTGGAGCAGGGCTAAGGCCTCCCCCACTGAGGGCGGCCCTGGGGCGCCGCACGACCGCCGGGTGACACGGACGCTGTGCCGTGGCCGGGCCTGGGGACGCGCGGCCCCGCCCCTCTGGCCTCTCACCTCTTGGTTGTTCTCTTCCAGGCACTGGTCATACTCGCTCAGGGAGGCCAGGTAGATGAGGGCGATCACATTCTCGAAGCAGTGAATCCACTTCTTGCGCTCTGACTTCTGGCCCCCCACGTCCACGATCCTGTGGGAGCCACCCCCTTTCAGAGCTCAGGATGCCGGGGCGCCCCAGCCCCCGGGCTGCCGGCGCGAGCAGCCCCAATATTAACGGCAGCGAGGGCGGCACCTCCTCTTGCTGACTTGAGTGTTCGTGAATTTCGCTCCCACCCATTTACAACTGAGGAAACTGGAGCTGGCGGAGAGGGGGCTCTCCTGCTCTCCTGCTCTCCTGCCCCACGAGGGTGCCTGACTTCTACCCCAGGGCAGCAGGGTGGGATGTCGGAGCGGGCTCTGGCTGCGTGACCCGTGGGCAACTGTGGGCTGGCTCCTGGGCCGCCTGCCCACCTGTGAGACGGGGCGGCTGTGTTCTGCCCCACGGGACAGTCCGCCTGCCCCGTAGGTGGGCGTGAGAACCACCCAGGAGACAGCAGGCGCCACCCCCCGTGCGTGGCCCGGGGCAGGACTGGCCTGGGAGCTGCAACTTCCCACCTTCCTGCTCTCTTCTAGAATATGGGTCACTGATAACAAGTCCGCGTCATTTCCCCAAGACTCAGCCGTTACTCAGGCAGCCGACAGGAAATGCTAGAGCCGGCAGCCTGGCGAGAAGGGACTTGCCCGCCGCACACGGGGAGGTGAGGCTGAGGCCTGCGGCTCCAAGCTCAAGCCCTGCCCCTCTCTGGTGGCTTCAGACACCTTCAAACCTCCATTTCCAGAGTTGGAACTGGGGTACACTGCTTGAGAGCGGGGATCTGAAGACTGGAACAGAGGTGGGGTACACTAGGCCCCTCGCAGGCCTCTTGCTCCGAGTCTCGGTGTCCGCTGCACCCTCCTTCCAACGATGAACACCGAATCTCGGCCTGAGATCACACCCAAGTCTCCCCACATGAAAACCACCTCCTCGATCCAGGCTTCCTTGGACCGTCCCCAAGTTGTACCTTCACTTCTAAACTCTTACGACCCATCTATCATCTGTCCGTCTGTCCATCCATCTGCCCGCCCACCCATTCATGGATTCGTCTATGCAGCCATCCACTTACCTGTCTGCCCATCCGCAAACCCCCCTTCCGGCACCACCCACTCATGCACCCACTCCCTCTCTCCCCCTCCCTCCGCCCTCGGCCCTCCCAGACGTACTAGTAGTACGTGTAGTACCCACACGTACTAACGTCCACACCGACCTCATGCCAATGAGCACTAGGGAAGCAGGAGACTGGCGCGTAGTCCCCAGCTCTCTGGGGCTGCCCCCCACTGGAAGGTGCCCAGGGCAAGCGGCTAAATTATGAGCTTTCCTGCAAGGAACTACTGACTCAGTAGCATGTTTGGGAGGTGGGGGTTCAGAGAAACGAGGGACTCGACATGGGTGAGCTGGACAAAGCCCCTGTCCAGGTGTCCTCCAAGCTGTCCACAGTTCCCTGCCATCAGCCCACGAGCACAGGCCTCGCTCGGTCACCACTGACCCTTTAGCTCCAGCTTTTCTCCCTGTACGCTTCCTGCCTTCTCCTTGGACTTTGACACTGGCCATCAATCACTCTGCCTGGACAACCCGTTGCTGCACCGGCCACCTGCCCCTCTGTCTGGTGTCCGGCCACCTCCTAGATGCCCCAATTTCCTCAGAACCAACCTGCCCCAACTGACTTCATTGTCTTAACAACCCTCATCCTGATGCTGCCATGGCAACGCTAGCACCCAGCCTGTCACCTTGATGGGAAACCTGGGAGTCATTTTTGACTTCCTGCTCTGATTCCCACACTCTTCTACTCCGGCCCCATCTACATCAGACACAAATCTTGCACCATCCCCCATTTCCTCTGCCATGGTCTCCCTGACATATCCTGCCGGACCATGGCTCCCACTTCCTCCTGCAGCTCCTAACCTGCAGCCTCAGGTCCCCACTGGCCATTAGAGGGATCCCCCTGTGCGCTGCCCCAGAATCAATCCCTCCGGCCTAGCCCTGACCACAGCCTGTCTTTTCCTGCCCAGAAGCTCCTTGAAAGTCAGCCCTACTGTACCCCTGTTCATTCTTTAGCCTCCTAATGCCAGTGTTCTAAGAAGCCTGTTGAGGACTGAGACTGGGAAACTCCTACTCACCCGTCAGTGCCCCAGCTGCTCTGCCCCTCCTACAGGGAGCCTTCCCCAGGCCCACGCTGTATGCTTACCGCAGGTTGGTTTTCTGCACAGAGAAGCAGTACTCGTTGATGCCGGTGGTGGGCATGCGGCTGCGGAGCACATCCTGGGCTGAGGGGATGTAGTTCTCCGCGGTGATGCGTTCCAGGTGGGACAGGTAGCTGTGGAGCAAGGAGCCCTGAGGCCCGGCCTTGCAGCCTCTCTGTGCTTCTCAGACCTCAGAGCCTAGAAAGGACCCTGCTAGGTGAGGAGGCCCAGAGAGGAACTAGGATCTTTGGGGTCCAAAATCTCACCATCCTGAGATTTTGGGGAGTGTTGGGGAGAACCAGTGTCACCCTTGGAGCTACAGGACCCCAAAAACAGCCACACCGGGGAAGGGTATCACCTTGGCTACCTCTAGAACGGGGACTAGGATCCCAATCATCAGTCACCCCAGACGCCCCGCAGCTTAAGAAGGCCAGTTTCATTGGCATGATGATGAGCAGTGTCAAGAGCAGTGTCCGCTCAGGGACACGTCACCCTGGGGCCATCACGCAGGAGCAATTGTCCCCCAGGAACTGTGTCAGCGCAGGGCAGTATCTCCCCTGGTGCTGTGACATCACAGGAGTCCTGTCAGCCCAAGGCAGTGGCACCCCCAGATCGTCTCTCTGGAGCCAGGCCACCTGGCAGCCACGGAGCCAGAAGGAAGCGCCTGCAGCGGCAGCAGCCAGCCAGGGCCCCCTCTGTGCCTGGACGACCTCGGGCGGCATCCTGGCCCCGCTGCGCCCCGTACCCGCTGCACCCGCAGCCCTCGCCCCCCGCACCCGCTGTCCAACGACCCCAGACTCACTACACGGCCGAGTCAAGCAGGTGGAACTCCCGCCGGCGTTCGTAGCAGGCCCGGACACCGGCGTCCCGCCACAGCCACTGCATGGCCACGGCGTAGGGCTTCTCGAAAGTGGCCACTTTGTAGGGGTCCTGGCTCATGACCAGACTGGCGTGGTGCTGGGGAGGAAGCACGGGGTGAGCCGCAGCGTCCACCAGCCCCTCGCCTTCTCCACGTGCCCTCCGGCCCGAGCCAGAACTACCGCCTGCACGCCCCGAGCTGAGCTGTCAGCTCACTTGCCCCGGCCGGCCCCGGCCTCAGCCTCAGCCTCGGCCCCGTAAGCGGCGCCGGCGCAGCTCCAGGGACGCCAGCGCGCGCGGGCGGGGCGCGGGGACGCCTGTGTGCGTGCAGAACAGCCGGAGCGGGCGGCCCCCCCTCTCGCGGGGCACCAGCGCTTTGGCACCGGGGAGGCAAGTCACACGACTGTCTTGCACAAAGCACAAAGGAGGAAGCCATTTGCCCGCGTGCACAGGCGCGCACCCTCAGCCTCGCCCTCCCGCCTTCCCGCAGCAGGTCTGGTCTGCGCTGGGGCGAGAGCGCTTCGGTCCTCCACCCGGAGCTGCCAGAGCGCGCTCGGGTCTCTGCAGGGGTGCGCAGCCTGCAGCCTGTGCCGGCCTGCGTCGGCGCGCGTCTGCACGCGTGTGCACTGTGTGTGTGCAGGGTGTGGGGAGGGGTGTGAGGGCGTCCTTTGGGCACACACGTGCTCCTGTACGTGAGTGGCGCCGTGCCGGTGTGTGCCTGGGTGTGTGCAACCACCGGCGGGTGTGGGTGTGAACTGGGGCTTGTGCGTGCACGTGTGGGCAGCGGTATGTGTGCTTGTGTGTGTGTGCAGGTGCATGTGTGTGGTGCATGCACCCCGAAAGCTCTGATCCCAAATACCACAGTCTGCAGAGGAATTCAGAGCCGGGGAGGATCTGAGGCCCGTGAGCTACTTGGCCCTGCACCAGGCCAGGCAGGCACCAAAGGCAGATAGCTGGGGTGGGTGGGGAGCAGCAGAAGGGGGCCCCTGAATATTCTCCCCACCGGCCCGCAAGCCGCCAGCTGCACTGGGAAGAGCGGACGTGGATGTCGCGCCCCCCCCGCGGCACCCCAACTCCCCATGAGGACCGTGAGGACCTTTCACACGCACGCTGAAAGTGGTCAGTGTCTGAGGGGCTGTGGGTGAGGTCTGGGTGAGGACCAGCCACTCACTAGTGGAAATGGTTGCAAGTTCCTGTCCCATCACAGAAGCATCAGCCCCTGGGAAGCCTGTAGCCGTCTACCGGCTGGGCTGTGCTCTGCTAATTCCTGGGTTGAAGTCCTAATCCCTCCTGGACCTCAGAATGTGGCTGTTTGCAGATAGGATCTTTATAGAGGTAATTAAGGTAAAATGAGGTCATTAGGATGGGCCCTAATCAAAAATAACTGATATCCTTAGAAGAAGAGATTAGGGCAGACACATCCACCCACAGGCTGCCCTTGGAGGACACCAGGAGACGTCAGAAGAACGGACCTCGCTGACACTTGGAACTTACACTGTCCGCCTTCATGACCAGAAGGAAATTAACTTGCCGTGTGAGCCACTCACTCTGGGTACTGTGTTACTGACAGCCTGAACAAACACATACTCCATCTGAAGTTTTAAAAAACACAATCAAAATGAATAATCCCTTAAAAAGCAAATCTTTGGAGAAATTTTTTACTGTGGAGAAAAATCCGCAGTAAAAATCAACGAAGGTCCTGAATTGATACTAATGTGATAACGATGGACGCTTGTGGGTCTTTTGTTGTTAAAAGGCAGAAGACCAGAGGCAACAATCTCGTCTAGGGTGGGCAGATGGGTTCTGGTTACCCGGAAACAGCGACCTGGAGAGGGACCTCCGGGGATATGTTCTGCTTCTTGCCCTGGACAGTGGTCACCTGAGTGTTTCCGCCTGCTGATGATTCACTGAGCTGCCCAGATGGGTCTTTTTCTGCATGTGGGTTATAGGTCAACAAACATGTTTTTTCTAAAGAAAGGCAGTGCTGGGCGGTTACTGGGTGTTATTCCATTTTCTTCCACTTGCGGACTGTGGATTTTGAACAAAATGCTTCTTTGTGTCCCTTTGCTTATCTGTAGTGGGAATGTGGACATCCAGCTGATGTCTAATCTGAGGATTAGAGAATCATACCGCCTTCCAGCACTGAGAACATGCTACTTCCAGGCGTGTGTGGGGAGCTTTGCTGTATGCTCGCATGAAGCCCATGAGCTAGATACTATTTGCTAGTCCTCAACTATCCTTCCAAAGTCCTTGAACCAGCTCAAATCCACAAATCAGAAGCATTCAGATTTTTTAAAAGTAGCACGCCGTTGTATCTATTAGTATGGCTATTACAAAAACCAAGCTTAAGCGTTGGAAAGAAGGAACTAGAACCTTTGCACACATTTTGTGGGAGTTCACCGTGGTGCAGTCACTGTGGAGAACAGCCTGGAAGGGCCTCAGAAAGTTAAAAATAGAGACTTTGTGTGACCTAGCCATTCTCCTCGAGGATATTTACCCCGAAGAAAGAAACCACGAACCCCAACGGGCATTAGCGCTCACACGTGCTCTGCAGCACACTCACAACATTCACGATGCCAAGATGCCCTCCTGTGGGCAAGGGGTAGAGACCACGTGGTGGGCAGTCACCCACTGCTGGCGGCACAGGGTGGCATCAGGGGCAGACCACACAAACGCAGGGGGCCCCGCCAGGCCGCCCACCGTGTGGTCAGGGTGCAGCGGTCACTGTACGTCTACGTTTGTGTCATTACACCTGTGAAGGACCCATTGCCCCGTGCGCTTGCTTCCTTTGCTGGTACGCACACAGAGGGCCGGCCCCTTCTAAAGCATGCACCCCTTAATAGTTTGGGACCCCTGGGTGCCCCTCAATTGCACACAAACAGGAGGATTCCAGGAAACCCCCCAGAGGGTGTTCTCGACTAAGGCCCAGGTGTCGGATGGGGCACAGCCTGGACTTGGGGTGCAGGGGACACGGTCCCACTCGGGGGTCTGGGGGCCGTGACCTCGCCCTGAATCCTACGGGACAGGCTTCACGAGCCTCGCGCGCGGCCAGGGCCCGACTCTCACCTTGCTCTCAGGCCTGCTGAAGGGGATCTGCAGCCGGTCCATGGCCTCGATCATGGTCCGCATGGAGACGAAGATGTTCTGGTAGACCAGGGGCCGGAAGCCCTTGCGGTCGTCCTCCGAGTAGCCGGCGCCATGGATGATCCGCATCTGCTTGATGAACGTGCTCTTGCCGCTCTCGCCGGGGCCTGGGGACACAGGGCGGCTCAGCCTTGGGGGCTCGCACCGTGGCCCCCCGATTCAGACAGGGCCTCGCGCTGTGAGTCTGGGCAAGGCCCTCGACACCTTGTGCTCTTTCCTCATCTGTCAACAGTTTGCCACGGTGGGCGAGAGGCCAGACAGGTGCTTTGCAAGGTGTGCCCGGGGAGGGGCGGAGGTCTGGAGACCAGAGCCAGGTGCCACGCCCGGTATAGCTCTGTGGTCTGCGGCTTTCCAGTGACTTTCATAGTATGTGTGTATTTTTAAAGATTTAGTTATTTATGCATACAGAACTGGGGTACAGGCCAGAGATGTGGGAGGTGAGAGGCTTCACCAGAGACAGAGCGGGGAGCAGAACAGACCGCTGCTCTGCTGAGGGCAGCAGCGGGCGGGTCAGGAGAGGTCTGCTGCGCCCTGTGGGTCACTCCGGGGCGGGGATCAAACTCGCACTGAAGCAGCTGTGGCCAGTTTGCAGGGCTGCGTCCTAACCCGCTGCGCCAGCAGGGAGGGCCTGGTTCATACATTCTTAATGGTTGAGGTTTATTGCCACGTGGCCTTATCAACTTGTGTACAAATTCCTGTGGATGTTTCCCCCTTTTTTAACACAGAACTGAAGAGTTGAGACAGAATCCACGTGGTCCCCAAAGTCAAGAATTATTAGCTGGTTCTTTACAGAAAAAGTTTGAGTTGTGGAAAAAGAAAAGAGGAAAAGGTTGTGGACTCTAGGACTAAAGATACAGGATGCCCAGACACAGTGAGAGCTATTACTTATTCTCTAGTTTAAGTAGTAGTATTTACAATAATAACAATAACTAGGGCCTCCCTGGTGGCGCAAAAGGTTAAGTCTCAGCGCTATGAAGTTATTGGCAGCCCCTGCAGCATGAGTTCGATCCCTGGCCAGGGAGGTGACCTACAGGGCACAGCAGACCTCTCCTGTCTCCCTGCCGCTCCCCTCAGCAGTGAATTTCAGTAGATCTGCCTGCTCTGCTCCCTACTCTGGGGAGTCCTCTCACGCCCTGCCCTGCCCCACCACCCACACCACTGGTCTACATCCCAGCTCTTGTATGCATAAATAAATAAAATAAATCTTGAAAAATAATAATAACTATTACTATCCTATGCTTTAATAATTTCGGGTGGAGGAGTTTTGTGAAGAACATAAAATAAGATAAAGAGTCTAAAGTGACTGATAACCAAGTATCAAGGAAGGCCTCTCAGGAGACGGGACTCGTGAGGCTGCGATCTGGAGCTGGAGAGAGGATTCTTGTGTCAGTAGCTGGAGGAGAAGCCCTCAGGCAGAGGGCATAAGCAGGGCAAAGGCCCTGGGGCACGACCTGGGTGTGGGAGACACAGGAGGAGACCCATGCGGTTGGAGTGAGGGGGTCAGAGCGACGAGGTGAGAGCAGGGAAGGGGGTCAGCAGGAGGACTGTGCTTGGTCCCCGCTAGGTAGCCCCCTGGGGCTACGGGCATGGGCGGGCGGAGCCTGACTCAAGTGCTCACTGTGGCCCTGGCATGTCCCAGGGAAACCCACGTCACCAAGGGCAGCGAGGGCCCTTCTGAGACCCGGACACTGTGGACTCTGTAGGGGACAGCTAGGTGCAGAACAGGGATGGGGCAAGGGGCCAGGAGGCTGGCAGCAACCAGACGCACCCAGCACCCCGCAAATCTTTACACTTTTTCTCTGGCTCTCTCTGGCGTTCTCTGTCTCACCACCCCGTGGGCTCGCTGCTCTGTAGTCCGGCGACCTCTCACAGCCATGCTTTCACCTCAGAGCCCCGCCTCCGGCCCAGGGTGCACGCCACACATGCCCACACCCACGCTCCACGTGTCTACCCCAGGCACGGCGTCCCGGCCCCCGCGCTCTCCACAGCCACAAGATCAAGGCCGCTAGTGGTGGCCATGGAGGCCAGAGGCGCAAAAGCCCGATCACCTTCAGGTACCTGTGACTGCCGGGGCCGCACACCCACAGGCCACCTTGGCTTATGGTAACACTGGAGCCAAGGGCCCAGGCCCAGAAACTGGGCTCCTGCCAGCCGTGTGCAGAAAGCTCCCTCTCTGTTCTCTCGCTGAGGCTCCTCCGCATGGTGGGGCCTGCTGGCTCCTGGGGACACTGGCCTGGGGCCCTTCCAGGGACCGGGGGGCGGGGGGGGTGCTGATGCAGGAGGAACCGGAACAAACAGCAAAAAGGGAAGGGCTGGCCTGCCTGGGCCCCGAAAGACGGAACGGGAGTAGAGGGAGCCCGGTGGAAAGAGAGGGGGAGAGTGGGGGGTTCAGGGAGGAGGGGGCGCTGCATTGCATGACCCCAGAGCTCTCTGGTCCTACTGGCCCCTGTGACCCCCAAACCACCGAAGGCCACCGGGCGGGTCGCCCAGTCGGCAGGTTCGAGAACAGGAGTCACGGTTCTCTCCATGGACATGACTTCGGGGTGCTGGGAAGGCTGGGATGGGAATCCCGTGTTACCTCCTGCTGCGGCACAGACAGCCACCTGCTTCTGATCGGGACTTGGGGGGCCTCTGCTTGCTAGTGGGATGAAAACCTATTGAGGAGTTTAGGAGTCAGGTGGTGTCAGGTTGCAACTTACTCAGAAATGGTTCCGAGAAAATTGAGTGTGTATGCATCAAATACATCTGCATAAGTGAATGACAGAGTAATTATGCGTGCACAGGTGAAAAGGGCATTAGACACTTCTGTATACTGTGTGTATGTGTATATAGTGAGAGAAAATGAGAATAAGGAAAATATGTCAAGTGTTGACATTTATAGAAGAGTGCGGTGCAACTTCTATATAATTCTGAGGCATTCCAAAACAGAAATTAAGACTGATTTAAAAAAACAAAGCCCCTGGCCCTCCCTGGTGGCGCAGCGGGTTAGAGCACTGCATTAAGAAGCCTAAGCCACTTCCGCATGAGTTCGATCCCCGCCTGCCCCGGAGGTGACCCCAGGGCGCGGCAGACCTCTCCTGACCCGCCCGCGGCTCCCCTCAGCAGTGGACGCCGCCCATCGGCCTGTTCTGCTCCCCGCTCTGTCTCTGGGGAAGCCTCTCACCCTCCACATCTCCGGCCTGTACCCTAGTTCTGTGTTCACAAATAAATAAATCTTTAAAGTAAAACAAAGCCGGGATGCAGGGTGAGCAGGTGCATTGCACCCTGCAGTAGAGGGAGGATCTTAGAGGGAAAAGCCCGGTGACCAAATGTTGGTGTGGCACTAACAGCAATGCAGTGATAGTAGCGGCGATGTGACCACTGGCTACTCTTTCAGCTACGGCCGCGCAGTGCGGTTCTGAGTCAGGGGTGTGAGGGGAAGCTGTCGGAGCAGCCAGGAACTCGCAGCACTCTCTCGTCTCTTTTAGTAAATCTAAAATCATTCCGAAATGAAAAGTTCCCTCAAAAACACACAAACCAAAAAAGCGCCCTGCGGCCTCCACCTCTCCCACGCAGGGCCACCGGCGCCCCAGTTTCCAGACTTTCTGGGGCTTACGCGAAGGCGCCACATCAGGCTCATGACCGCCCCGGTCGCCACGGGGACCTGCAGGCGTCACTGCCCAGGGACCAGTGACGCAGGCAGCCGCACGCCTGTCACAGCGCACGTCACGGGTGTGGAAACCGAGGCCCTGACGTAGGGCCCCCGCAGCCTGGCCCCCGAGCCCCCGGGCTCTCCCCGCAGTGAGGATGAGGCTCACGGAGGCCTCAGCCCCCAGGGTGGGCGTCTGGGAGTGTCTCGGCGTGATTTAACAGATCTAACGGGTGGTCTCCTCCCAGCCCACCCGAGTGCTCTCTGCAGAGCCTCAGGTATCATCCCCGCCCCGCCAAAGAGGCTCAGACAGGTAAAATAACTCCCCCAGAGTGACCCAGCTGATGGAGCAGCTCAAGCTGCAGGCCCCGCACCCACAAACGAGACATGGCCAGGGCCAGGTGTCTGCAAAACGTCGGTCTGCGTGCTGTGCTCTGCACGCTGGGAAGCCGCCAGCATCTGCAGGAGAGCTGGGCCCACCGCAGAGCGAGACTTGGGCCCTCTCAGTTGCCTTCCGACTCTCTGGTCTCAGGTCTCCCCCAAAGCATGGAGAATAGAATTCTCACCAAGCGACAGTAACCCATTTTTTTTTTTTTGCACTACATTGATTTCCCCTAATTTTTGTTTTATTTTAAAAACAAAAGTTGCCATCCACAACATGAACGCGTGATACGTGAATGCTTCATGGCCGAAGTCTGAAAAACGCCACGGCCCCTTATTGTAGCCTGGACCCTGAAAGCCACTAGAGATTCTAGAACGGAGGCTGCTGGGAGGACTCGGGAGCGTGAGCGGCTTCGGGAAGCCTCTCCCTCCTCCCTGCCCCCACACGTGGAAGTGGGGGAGGCTGTGGGGAAAGCTGGCTCCACGTGGCTGCAGAACCCAGACGGGAAGTGAGAGCTTCCTCCTGGGAGACATGAGGAAATGGAGCTGAGCGGACGCCTGGCCCAGTCGGCCCAAGCCGGCATCATAAGACAGCCACTCAGTACCCGCCCTGCCCCTGGGGAAATGGGCCTCTGAGAACGGGCAGCCAAGGGCAGGCCGCTCCGCTCCAGCACCAGCTCAGAGCGGTCACGGACCCACTCCAAGCCAACCCCTGGGCCTCAGTTTCCCCCGCTGCCATAGGTGTTCTATGCTCTTCTCTCCCGGGCCCTCAGGCACAGACTGCTGGCAGGAACTACGGGCTCTGTCTCTGGCTGCGTGATCTCGGGCGAGTTGTTACACCTCTCCGGGACTCAGTTTCCCCATCTGAGAACAGGAGTGGTGCGGCCTCCAGGCTGAGGCAGAGTGGGCTCCTTCAATTCTTCCTGCTGACTCATCCCCCGCCCCTACATGGGGACAACCCTCCGTCCCTCAGGCTTCTTCTGAAGAATCAGCCAACTCCAGAAAAGAAATAGTTTTTAAAATTCAATTCTTGTTTTCAAGAAGGGAGGGAGTGGTGGAGATCACCCTCAGCTGGGATGTGGTCTCCCACATCTCAGTCCACAGGGGCACCCCACCATGAGTGTGCTTTGGGACACCGCCGACCCCCCTCCTCCCATCCCCTCTGCCTGAGCCAAGAAACACTGATTCCGGGCCGGCTGACCATCCCTCGGCTGACCATCCCTCGGCGGGGCCTGGCCTCAGGGACTCTCCCAGTCCCCGGGCTGTGACACAGCCCTGGGGAAATTCCTCCTGAAATGGATTCACTGCTTCTCTGTCAGCCTCACTGTGGCCTGGCCGAGACGCGGGGCTGCAGAGGGAAGGACTGCAGCCTCACCTGTGCTGCTGGCTGTCTCAGGAAACAGCGGCGAGCAAGTCTGCCCAGGACCCACGCCAGCATTCCGGAGAAAATCCAGCTGAGGCAGAAGGGGAAGGATGGTTCTGTCCTGTGACGGAGGGAGTCAGGTGACTCTTGAACAGAGTCCTGCCTTGACCCAAAATTGTGAGTGGGGGGCTCCGGGGGTGCCAAGAGCTCTTGGGAGGAAGCAGCTAGTGCAAAGACCTGCCGTGCGGATGAGTGAACAAGTGACACAGGAAACATTTGCCGACACGGACGGACCCCTTGGCTCACGGATGGAGAAAAGGAGACTGAAGACAGGGCGCTGAGGAGGGGACACGGTCACAGAGGCTGCAAGGGGAAGGTTATCAACACTTGATACATTTGACAGCTTGGCAGAAATGGGCAAATTCTTTGAAAGATGTCAATGACCAGAACTCACCCAAGAAAAGTAGAAAGCCGAAATAGCCCTGTTTGTTGAGAATAAGACAGGAATGTCATTGTCATTAATACAGCAGTCACGCTACTAACATAGTGGCGTTATTGTAATACCACTAATTCTACACTATTATATCAATAATAGTTACGTTATTATATTAACAATAATTGTGCGCTGTTATGACTATAATAATTTAGTTATTGATGATTAGTAATAATTCCATGCTGTTATTAGTATGACAATTAATTTATTAACGATTAATAATTCTGTGCTATTAATAGTGTGCCAATTAATTTATTAATGATTAATAAGTCTTGCTATTGTTAATGTAATAATTAATGTATTGGTGACTAATGACTAATGACAATTCTGTTCTGTTATTAATATAATAGCCCATCTACTAAAGTAATTCAGAGATAGTGATGGAAAAATTAAATTCTTAGTTAGAAGTCTTCCAGGCCCAGACAACTTTATTGACTCTTTCACCAAACTTAAGCTTAAGGGAAACAGGAAGTATTCAATGAACAGCAAAGAAGCCAGGCTGCAGGATGGTGGCAGGTAGTCAGAGCAGGAGTCGCAAGGTCAACCTGGGGCCACTGGGGGAATTTTCTGCCTGCCGTGTCTCAGACAACTAGATGCGGGGAGGGATTCCTTGACCTTGTTCAGCCAGAGGGACCGAGACAACAGCTGGAAGGACCATGGAATCGAGGAACAATTTTGGCGTCCCCCCCCCCACCGTCTCTGTCGAGCCCTAGAAGCTGTGTCGGTCCCACGGAGCCAGGGGAGAACGCGGGTGGCTGCAGAACTAACCCCTCTCTGTAGCCCAGGCAGGCAGATGTGACTCCAGGGAGCCCTCCCCAGCCCCAAGCAGGGGCCAAGGAGCCCTGGGAAGCCCTCGGGCAGGGAGAGTGGGGTCGCCCAGGAGGCAGCCAGTTGGGGAGTGGAGATCTGGAGGCCACCAACCCCCCACCAAGTCAACCCTAGTCCTGCTCCTCATTTTCTTGCCCCTTGGTTCTCCTTTGCTGCCAAAAATTCTTTCCTTTACTTAATAATCCACAGCTTAATAGCTGCCTCCTCAGCATGAAATGAGGGCCGAGGAGGCAGGAATAAGGAGGCAGCCGCCCGGTACAACCCGAATGAATGAATCCATTATTCCGACCTTCGGTCAGTCAGGGCCCCCAAGGCTCGTGTGAACAGAGCAGAACCAGCCCGGGTCAAGTCCTTGCGGACTGGCAGCCAGCCGCGCCGGCCCCTGGCCGGGGCGCCTGGACAGGGACGAGAGAGCCGGGCTCGGGCACACCTGGCTCGTCATTCCCTTCCCGTGACGCAGACTGGTAGGGCGTGCTGGGCCTGCCAGGCGAGGCCAGGCCCCCGAGACCCACCCGGCTGGCCAGCTCCGTCCCACAGACGCCTGGCCAGGTGGACGGGCCTGGGCGCCCGAGCCCTGGCACCTGCCACCCCGCGCCGTGGCTTTCTCCGGTGCAGGGGCCCCTCCCGGAGCCGCCGCCGCCTCCTCCAGACGCGGTGCCCAGACGCGGTGCCCGCGGCCCGCCCAGCTCACCCAGCAGCAGCAGCTTCAGCTCCCCGCGATCTCGCTTCTTCTGCTCCATGAGGATCCTGTTGATCTCCTGGTCGATGCGGGCCGCCGCCTTCTCGTCCTCCGTCAGACACCAGGGGCAGCAGCGCCAGGCCAGGGAGTGGGCCATGGTGCCGGGGCTCAGCGGGCACCAGGTGGCATGGCCCCAGCGCCGAGGGCACCTCCAGACCTGCCGGCTCCGGAGAGGGCTTCCTCTCCGGGTGTGAAGGGGCTGCCTTGGGGGTCACCCCCCCAGCGACGCCTTCTTTTCCGGCCTTGGGCACCAGGACGACCCAGCTCAGCTGAGCCAGGAGGGAGAGTGAGGGGAGAGGTGGGAGGAGCAGGTGGTGGTGGGGAGGCTCAGGGCTCCCCACCCATCCAGGAGGCCTGCCTGGACCCGCAGAACAGGTTGTCTGCAGAGGTGAGGTAGTGCCTCGAGGGAGGGAAGCGAGGGAGGGGAGGCAGGGGAGAGCCAGCTGCTGTCTGGTCCACGGCAGCAGCCTCCTGCCTCCTTCCTCCTTCTGGTGAAGGGGCGGACCCCAGCCTCGTGGGACACCGCCCCCGGGCCGTCCCCAAACGCCACCCCATTCTCTGAGCCAGTTATGTGATCATAACACCAAGAATGATCTTTATTCAAATCAGGCCAGGGGCACCCACACTTTGAAGTGCCCCAGCGAGGCTCACTCATCAACTGAGGACACAGTCAGTGCAGCCGGGAAGTGACTCTCAGGCCAGCCGGCCACTGGTCGGGCCCTGGGCCCTTGGGGAGGGGGCCCCTGCCACACCCCTCCAGTGTGACAGGAGTGACTGAGAGGACCCAAGTCCCTGACCTCGCTGCCTGCCATCTAGTCAGACAGAAAGATCAGGAAAAGCACCAGAACATTCCTTTGCGCCTGTTAGGTGACTGTCAGCTCAAAGTAAGACGAGGAAGGGGCTTGGTGCCGGGACGATGCTTCCTGTAGGGATTGAGGAAGCCACGCTGGCCACAGGCGCAGGGCGGGGAGGAGCTGGACGCTGGGCGCTGGGCCTGGGTGTCTAGGACACGGCCGCAGCCCGCCCGCCCGCTGCCGGTGGTGTGCAGGACAGGCAACCGCTGCCTCCACAGAGGTGAGGTCTCGGGTTGGCGCCAGGGCTGCAGATCTCTGCCGGATTTGGGTGCAAGCGCACGCCGCAAGCATCTAGAAAGTGCTAGAATGTCCTAGAAAGGTTCAGATTCTGTCTTTCTCACACACTCTCTCTCTCTCTCTTTCTCTCTGTCTCTCACACACACAAGCACAAACGCTTGCACGCACCGAGGAATACACATCCCCGGGGGCTCGCAGGCTCCTCGCAGGAACCCCCAGACTCACTCAGAGAGGCTGAGTGGTACAATCAGGGACCATCCACAGCAGCAACTGCTCCCCTCCCCCACACCAGCGGGCCAGGCAGAACCTTGTGGTTTTCTCTGCTGTTGATTCATAGCGGCAGTTGGGAAGTTTGATAGGGGCCCCCCACTGGGTCATTGGGACCGCCCCCAACCGGATGGCTGTGAGGAGGGGGGCTCCCCAAGGCCAGAGGCCTGGGCCACTTCCTACTGGGGGCAGGTGAAAAAAAAGCAGAAATGGCCTTGGCCAAGCAGAGCCAGAAGCGCTGCCCCAGAATAGAAATAACCAGCATGGCAAAACTGGAGACGGCTGAGTCACAGACCCCAGGGGGACAGAGTGTGGCCGGCCATCTCCCGGCTGGAGCGGGCCCCAGCTCCTCACAACAGCCCGAGGACATCGAGCCCCATATGAACGTCTTCTGTCACTGCCCAGACCCCACCACCCCTCAGTCCCAGGGCCCCAACCTGTGTGAACCCCTACAGCTTCCAAATAAATCTCCCTTCCAGTTCCCCAAACAGGCTTCCCTTCCACATGCCCGGCCCTGTGTACATTTTTCACATAACAGCTCATTCGTGAGCATATTTAAAAAAAAAAAACACATGTAGAAAATGCATAAAACATGAACGTATAACCTGAGAAACTTGCAAAGCCAGGATCCATGTGATTTCTACCCAGGCCAAGCCTAGGCCCTTCTCAGGCCCATAAGGGTCCCCTGATATACTTTCCATAGGAACCCTCTCTTTCCCCTCCCCCAAGACATCCCTGCTTTGACTTCTATGCTATTTCTGGGTGGTTTTTTTTTGGGGGGGGGTTGATATTTGTTGGTGATAAGACATTTCATTCTTCACTTCTAAAATTATGTTCATAGAGTTCACTTCTTTGGACTACGATCTGTGGGTTGTAACAGATAGAAAGCTTCGTGGAGAACGGTGGACCAAATGTGGCTTTTATTCTGGGTGCCTCTGTAGTTAGCCCATCCCCAGCCCCAGCCCCATGGGCTTCCCTATCCAACAAGCAGTTCTCAGATATCAGTAAGGCATCCAAGAATTCCCTCCATTCAGCTCGGTTCTGACACCATTTGACGGAGACAGCATCACAGTCCACAGATAAAGGGCCCCATCTCCCAAGATCACACAGCAGCCCCCCAAGATCACACCCCAGCCCCCCCAAACCCTCCTTACTCTGCTTCAGGTACTTTCCTATACTCCTGAGCAGCTGGGCACAAATCAGAGGAAAGTTTCCATACCTCTCTCCAGGTTTGATTAATCTGTGAATAGAAATGAGGAAGCCCGTTTATACATGAGGTCACTGATTTTCACCAAGGACTAACTTGGAAGTGGTCAGATGAAGAGCTGACCGGCAAGAATGGGGAAAGCACAGGGCTCCCCCCACTGCTCCAGGCTCCCCTCCCCCCTGGGGTTGGCCACATGCCCACCAGCCTGCCAGCTGCCCAGAGCCCGCCTCTGGGTGATCACGGCTTCATTACAGAGGTGGGTTAACTAACTAGCCATTGGCACTGAACTCAACTTCCAGCTCCTCTGCCCACCCAGAGGTTCAGGGTGGGCCTGAAACTTCCAGCCCTCTAATCACATGGCTGGCTCTCCCCTAGCAACCAGCCCGCATCCTTAGGTCCTTCCCAAAATGCCACCTCATTGACATAAGAGATATGTCACTCTGAGCACAGGTAATCCCAAGGCATTTCAGAGAGATGAGCCAGAAACTGTGAAAGAAGAGCAAAATTTATAAACTATCTAGTTTGGTCAACTGAATGACCAAGTTTTTATAGTTCCTACAAATCACAATGCCGCTGATGCTATGGTGGTTTTTTTGTTTTTTTTTTTTAAGTTTTTGAGGATGTTGTATAAATGGGATATACCTTATGCAGCCTTTTAGACTGGCTTCTCTCATTTAACACTTGGTTTTCATCTCTGCAGCTGGGAGCCCATTCTTTTCAGTTGCCAAATAGTTTTCCATTCTGTGGATAGGTCATCTTTTACCGACTTAGCCACAGGACAAACAGGTTGTTTCCAGTTGTGATCATGAATATTGCTGTTATAACGTAGGTGTTCAGAACGTTTGACATGAATATTGTTGTTCTTAAGGATAAATCCTTACCAATGGAACTGTTGGATAACAGAGTAATTGCATGCTTATAAAAAGCTGCTAAATGATTTTCTAAAGTAGCTGTGCCCTTTTGCATTCCCCAATGTATGAGTTCCAGTTGTTCTGCATCTTGTTAACACTTGGTATTGTCTGTAACTTTCATTTTAGTCATTGTAATGTGTGTAATGGTATCTCTTTATGGATTTAATATGCAATTCCCTGATCAAATAACGATGTTGGATATCTTTTCAAATGTTTAAGTGCTATCGGTGTATCTTCTTTGGTCAGCTGTCTATTCAAATATCTTGCCTTTTTTTTAAATTTTTTTTAAAGATTTATTTATTTATTTGTAAAGAACTGGGGTACAGACCAGAGATGCGGAGGGTGAGAGGCTTCACCAAAGATAGAGTGGGGAGCAGAACAGGCAGATCCACGAAGTACACTGCTGAGGGGAGCAGCGGGCGGGTCAGGAGAGGTCTGCCATGCCATGTGGTCACCTCCGGGGCAGGCGGGGATCGAACTCATGCAGAAGTGGCTTAAGCTTCTCTGTGCTGTGCTTTAACCCGCTGCACCACCAGGGAGGGCCTATCTTGCCATTTTTTAAAGTGGGTTCTTATTACAGTCTTGCACGGCATAACATTTTCATCAATGGTGGACCTACACAATGATTGTCCCGGAAGATTCTACCATACAGTATAGATCATAGATTATATCATCTAGATTTGTGTAATTACTATTTGCGATGTTCACACAATTATCATCTAATGACTCATTTCTCAAAATGTATCCCAGTTTTAAGAGACACATGACTGTATTATATTTTAAGAATTTACATATTCTGGATACAAGCCTGTTTTGGATATGTAGCTAACAAATATTTTCTTTGACTCAGCTTTGACTTCACATCCTCTTAACTGTGTCTTTTGCAGATCAAAAGTTTTTCATTTTAATGATGTAGAATTCATCGATTTACTTTCTTTAGTGATCATGCTTTTGATACTGTATCTAAGACTCTGTCAAACCACAAAGATGTTCTTTGATGTTCTAGTTTTATTGTTCCATTTTACTTTTAGAACTATAGCCTATTTTGAGTTAATTTTTATATAGGTCAGAGTTCTTTTCACTGTTATTGCTTAACCCTGACTTAAAACAGGATAGGAGTATGTGATGCCCCAACTTTCTTCTTTACAAAATTGTTTTGGTTATTCTAGGTCCTTTAACTTTCCACATAAGTTTTAGGCTCTGTTTTACTATATGTACATAGAATCCTGTTGGAACTGTGATGATCTTAACTCTACAGATACCTGTGGAGAGAACTGACACCTTTACTATCTTTACTTCACTGAGTCTTCCAATCCCCGACCATAGCATGTCTTTCCATTTCAGTTTTTTTTTTAAGATTTATTTATTTATTATTTATTCATACAAGAACTGGGCTACAGGCTAGATATGCGGGGGATTCAACACAGACAGAGTGGGCAGCAGAACAGGCAGATCCACTGGAATACACTGCTGAGGGGGGCAGCCGGGAGGCGGGAGAATTCTGCTGCGCCTGTGGATAGGCTCCCTGGCTGAGGATCCAACTTGCGCTGCAGTGGGGGCGGTCGGCTTCACAGTGCTGCGCTCTAACCCGTTGGGCCGCTAGGGAGGCGCTCCCCTTCTCCTTTTTCCCTTCTAACACAAGGCTCCTCGGATGGGCCTTCCAGCCAGCACACAGGCAGGAAGGCCAGAGAGCGGCAACTAGCGACACCTGCTGGAACTGGACGGCATGACATCGCGCGCCGCCTGCCGGGCGCTGGTCCTCCAGGCTTCCCACTCCTCGCCGCGCGGATTCCATCCGCAGCTCCGCTGTTGCCAGCGGCTCCACCAGCCCCACCCGCCTGGGTCTGTGCAGTCGCACCCACCCTGGTCCTGCTCCCTTCTCTGCCCCCAGCCCCCTAGGCCACCAGCCCAGGGTGCAAGCCCAAGTCTCCCAGGACTCACACAGCCCCGTGACCTACTTGCCCTCCCCACCCCCAACCTGTCTGCTCCAGCCGGGCAGACTCCTCCCTGCATGTCCGCCTCGCCTCAGGCAGGGCCTTTGGGGGCTGGGACAGGCTGGGAAATGCTCCTTCTGGCCGCAGAAAGACGCTCACCCTCCGGGTCTCCCCGGATCCTGTTGCACGCGGTCACTTCTCAGAGGCCTTTCCTAAACAGCCTGCTCAAAAGGCCACTCTCACCCCCCACCTGCTTCCGCGCTGTTTCCTTCGGAGGCTGCGTGGTGGTCTAGAATAGCACCCGCCTCGCTGGGTGCCAAGGTGTAGCCACTGGCGAGAGTAAACACAGCTGGAAGAGAATGGGGCGAAACGAACCCGCACACTGCTGGGAACGCCACGGAAACAGGATGGTGGTTCCCCAAAAAGTCAAACAGGTAAGAGCCAGCAGTTCCGCTCTAGGTATTGACTCAAGAGGGCTGAGCAGGTCTGAGACAAGCTGCCTCACGTGACCGCAGCTGGAGGCCGGGGCCAGGCGCACGAGGGCCCATCCACAGCCGAGCGTCCTGCGGCTCCGAAAAGGGCGTCGCGGCCCTCCCTGGTGGCGCAGCGGGTTAGAGCACAGCACTGTGGGGCTGTTACAGCCACTGCAACGCAAATTCCATGCCGAGCCCGGGAGCTGACCCGCAGGGCCAGCTCTCCTGACCCGCCCGCTGCCCCCTCCGCGGTGTGCTTCACCTGACTGCCTGCTCTGCTCCCTGCTCTGCTTCTGGTGAATCCTCTCACCGCCCACGCCTCTGGTGTGTGACAAGCTGCAGTGTGGCTGCCCTTGGGGTCACGATGCTGAGGAATAAGCCAGACAAGGGCCACGCACTGGGCGCCACCACAGGAGGGTGCGGGGAGTCACAGGGGTGGGCGCAGGGGCGGGGGCCGCGCGTGCCTCCAGCCGCCAGAGCACGGGTAAGCAGGGAAAGGCCTGGAGCTGGGCGCCACGGCTGAGCCGCGCACTCAAACGGCAAGCTTGTGTCCATGCCGGAATGAACTCGCCAAAAAGGGAAGAGTTCAGGGGAGAGCGCAGAGATATGGCTGCCCCAGTTACACAGGGGTGCACAGGCCCCCAGTTACACAGAGGGGCACAGGCCCCCAGTTACAGAGGGACACAGTTCCCCAAGCTGCTCCCTGCCCCCAACCCAGTGACGGGGTGCTGAGCCCAGAACCTGCCCCCAGCGAGCAGGTGCTTCCTCCACAGCACCCCAGCTGGGAAGAGCAAATGAACTTGAACTCAAGGGTGAACTAAAAGGACCGCAGGGCCCTGGAGCTGTGGGCCCGCCGGGCTGGTCAGCCCAGCAGCTGACGGCCACCGCTCCCTGGAGTGCACGCCACTGCCCGAAGGTGCCAGGGCCCCGCTAACACGCAGGGTCCAGGTGACGCCTTGAGACCGTTCAGGACCCTTCCACGCCACCCCCCCCCCAAGGTAGCCGGCACAGGAAGTAAGCCAGAGGGGCCAGGGCATTTAGGAACAAAATTTATTCCAATTTAAAACAATTCATTTCAGGAGAAAGATATGAAAAGTCAATTTCCATCAGGTATCTGGATTAAGGGGTCAGGGCCCCGACACACTGAGCAGTCCGCGCTCGCACCCGCCTGGGCGTGGCAGCCTCGGCCACGGAGGCCGGCCTGGAGGCCACTGCGCCCCATCCACCAGCACACACGAGACATGCATTTCAAATGACAAAAGGTTTAAAAACAGCATTTTATATAATATTCTTTTTTAAATAGCTTAAGGTTTAAATCGTCTGAAATCAGGACTGTGTAATAATATACAAGAACCGGACAACGTCCACCCGGCACGGTTCCCTGCACCGCCACTAGGGGGCATTGGCACTAGGACGTCTGAGGGGAGACGCGGCCGGACTCTGCTGCTGGGCCGACCTGGCGCGAGCCCGGGGCGGCCCTCCACTGGGACCGCGTCCGCGGGGACAAGGGTCACCCAGGTCACCCACCAAGCCACCTCGCGTACGGGTCGCAGGGCCCAGACCTCCCGCCCGTTGGCACCGGCACAGAACTGTTCTGGACCCTGCTGGACGGCGGGCGGGGGCCCGCCTGGTGGGGCTCCGGGAGGGCCAGGCTCCAGCTCTGGAATGCTTGGCACTGCCGCTCTGGAGTTAATACTGTGGGCCTCGCCGCCTCCTCAGAGCCCAAGTCCAGTCCTCTGTCCGTGACTGGGCCCTCGTCGCCGAGGCCTGCGCCCGGGTGCCGCCCCCGCGGC